ATAGTACTGTACTGCTGTATGTACTATGTAACTATAAGAAGATATATCTATATAAATGTAACTATAAGAAGATATATCTATATAAATGTAACTATAAGAAGATATATCTATATAAATGTAACTATAAGAAGATATATCTATATAAATGTAACTATAAGAAGATATATCTATATAAATGTAACTATAAGAAGATATATCTATATAAATGTAACTATAAGAAGATATATCTATATAAATGTAACTATAAGAAGATATATCTATATAAATGTAACTATAAGAAGATATATCGACATACATGTAATAGTACTGTCTATGAGCTATATGATAATCATGAGTATGTTTAGGAAGCCTTGTCAAATCCCCTGTTTCCTGTCAAATCCTCTGTGTCTTCCTGTCAAATCCCGTGTGTTTCCTGTCGAATCCCTTGTGTTTTCTTGTCAAATCCTCTGTGTCTTCCTGTCAAATCCTTTGTGCTTTCTGCCGAATTCCATGTGTTTCCTGTCAAATCCCGTGTGTTTGCCTGTCAAATCCATTTTATTTTCCTGTCAAATCCCGTGTGTTTTCCTGGCGAATCCCGTGTGTTTTCCTGTCAAATCCCTTGTGTTTTCCTGCCGAATCTCGCGTGTTTTCCTGTCAAATCCTCTGTGTCTTCCTGCCAAATCCTTTGTGTTTCCCGTCGAATTCCGTGTATTTCCTGTCAAATCCTTTTTATTATTATCAAATCCCGTGTGTTTTCCTGTCAAATCCCTTGTGTTTCCTGCCGAATCCCGTATGCTTCTGTCAAATCATTTTTATTCTTATCAGATCTATGTGCTTTCTTACAAATTCCTTGTGTTTCCTATTGAATATCCCGTGTTTTCCTGTCAAATTCCCTGTGATTTCTATTAAATTTTCCGTGTTTTCCTGTCAAATCCACTGTGTTTTCCTCACCAAACAATGATTTCTGTTATCAGTGTCTCTAAACTGAAGATGTTATTTTGACTTATCATTGGCCAGTTGTCGTTGTTTCCTGACTTCATGGAGTATTTTCTTTTTCTATGGAATATTAGGTGATATTTATCTTATCTTATAAGTTCTAATAAAGCTTGTTTTTGACAGGATAACAAGGCGATCATTTACATTCAAGAAGTTAATATTGTTGCTGACGTCACCTTCCCATCAAAACCAGTGGTTGTTTCGTTGAAAGACTATGACAATGCCGTTGATGCACTCAATCCTATCCCAGGATACCCAGTTATTTGTATTACAGTAAGTTGTGGTGCAAAACTAAAACTAAAATATTTGAGCATAGCATATTTAACTATTGGTTTGAGCTTTAACATGTAATCCAAGGTTTTTGTTTTTACAGGGAGCTCGGCGTAAGCCTAAGCCTGACAATACCAGTTTCACATTGTCAGCGCACGTTCTTAATTCCTGTATCCCATAATAGTTATTAAGGTATTTATTTGAACGGCACCTAATGTTTCAAATGGGCTAAACGGCTAGGTCAGAGACCCCAAGGTTCAAGCACAGTTATTAAGATATTTGAATGGCATCACTAGCGGATTGAGGGGGTGCTGCCGCCCCCTTTTACATAATTTTACGGTCTAAAGTGCGACCCTTTTAACAATAATTAATTTCAATAAAATATTTTATTTTCTGCCTCTCCTAGTTACAGGCCAATAATTTATAATATTATACTTAAGTTTGATGTGTCATCTGGCTGCACCGATATATATGATGTATGCTGAAACTATATTGCGCCCATCCAGGCGGCCGCATTCCCCTTTCCAAAATAACGATCTACGTTAAAACATTCATCTTTTTTATTTACCTTGTCATTCATAAGCATATTACAATCTTCAACATAAACAGCAAACATGACGTAAAATCTAAATTTTGATCCAAGTTTCATTGTTTAATATCATAAACGTGCAGAGGACATTAAAATGGCATAAGCTCATTGACAAAAAAGGGCCCTTTTAAAGGGGTTATGGAGACTAAGGGGATAATGAATTGCCTTTACATAGGGTAGAAACCCTTATAGCAAACAGATTCTCTTTTATTCTTATTCAATCGGTCTTATAAACACTTTTAAAATCAAAAAATAGACCGTGAAATATTGCGTACTTAACAGCATATCACAATTATTTTATTTATTTATTTTCTACTTTAACGAACTACAAATCACAGTGTGTCATTCGTTTTAAAGCCGAACAGTTTGTTTGCTTGTTGTTAAGCACAAAGCTACACAATGGGCTATCTGTGCTCTGCCCACTAGGAGTATCGAAACTGCAGACATACCGCTGTGCTACTGGGGGGCCGTTTTAAAGCCGTTTTTTTTTCGTAATAACTAGCAATAAGCAAGTGCAGAAATAGGCATGTCTTTTAGTAATAATGGACAATTTTTATGACTGAGAAAAGGAAGATTTTGGAAGCATAAGAGCATAAAGATAGGGGCTTGAGCCCACCCAACCACCCCTGTTTAATATATATAATTTTACTTCCTTTTTCTCTATTTATGCGAGTGGAACCGCTTTTGTTGTCTTGTGGCTCACTGTCCCATAGCGTTAAAAGCGAGAAAGCATGTGTATCCATGCATAAACACGTGTTGAACTCAGTTTCTCAGAAGGTTGCTTGTTTATGTGTTATTATTTTTAATGATTACTTGCATAATCGATTCAGTGTTGGTCTGCTAGCACGAGCAAAGCCCAATTGAGCTCTAAGACCAGTATTAAGCCACACAAAAAAAAAACACCTTAAGTCAATAGTACATATGTTTATAAATAAAATTATCTGTGTATTTGCTCGTTTAATAACTTTTTTTTTTCATAGTCCCCAACTAATGAATTATCCGATAATCTGTTTTTAATTATTAATAACTTTCGATAAATCCCTTAATTAAAAGTAAAATAATGGGCAGAGCGTTGCCCGTAGTTACTCAAACTACAGATCGGGGTTCTAAGGTTCAAGGTTCCTTGACGATGAAATCCACACTGTGGACGCATTTTCATCAGGAATTTATCAACTTTCAGATTCTTCTTTACAGCTAATTTCCCTTTGTCATTATTGTCCTTTACTTGTTGTTGGTTTATTTATATATACTTGACAAAAATGCATCAATTCGTTATTCTATATTTATTGTAATCACCATTATTCAATTCAAAATTTATGTTAAATCTCTCGGACATATTATTTTTTCGTAAGAAAATTATAAACATAACCCTCACTTGGATATTCGAGTTCTGCACGTTATTGTAAACCTTGCTACTTCAATTGCCTAGGATCATTATTGACCTTATATTTATTGTTTATTTTGTATATACATATTTTTGTAATATTAAAACTTATACAATTTACCCATCTAATATTTATAATATACTTTTAAAAAACAGGAATGTTCTAATCTGAAATGTGAACTTTAGGCTTGATATATTTAGATGTGGAAATTAATATCACTTTTTCTTTCTTCATTGAGAGCTTTTGAAGGCACGAGATTATAACGTATGTACGTGTTCTTTCTGTCCCTAGGCCTGTAATCCTAAATATCCAGACTACGAAAAAACAAAAGTCCTCTGTACTTTAGAAGGCATCAATGACACGTTGACAGAGTTTGGATGGCGTGTGGCGGCACCTAGTGGTCAAGATGGAGTCACGAGTGAACTGAAGAATGTCGAATCAAGAACGTTTTTCACGGACACTCACCACATCACTTTGGATAGCATATACTTCTCACCAGGTCAGGTCATACACACAAAATTATTAGTAGTGACCTCGATAGTTGCTTAAACGATTCGGGGCACGGGCCTCGTGTACCAGTGCCTAGCGACGCCTCTGACGTCATATTATATAAATATTATTGTGTTTATGTAAAATCTGACTGGGTAATTACAAAATACTGGAAATGTAAATCGAAAATCCCTCTCTTCAAAAATCGCGAATTTACAACTTACATTTTAAAGTTGTACTTTGTTTCTCCTGATGACAACCCTAAGATCGATCTTTGAAAGAGAACACACTTTTTAGCTCCGTTACAGATGTATTTATCACTCACATTTTCTACAGTGACGACAGGTTGTTGCTTGGTTATATATTGGCAACCACGATGTGAACTTGCAGAATCACTTATATGGGTGATCAGTGAAAAACATTGGACATCAGTGTGTATTTCTTTGTACATGTATGTTAAAGATTTATGAAAAGAAGATCTGTGACGTAGAGGCTTAATGCATTCTTTGATTGGCCGTCATAACATTACTTACATACCTAAATTAACTTAGGTGACTACATGTATATGGTAAGTAGAATGGACTCACAAAACACCAGAGATAGTGTATTTGTTTGTTTTAACAAAGCCACATTGAGTTTTCTGCTGTGTCTACCGCGGGAATTCGACCTCCAGATCTTAACGTTCTAAGTCCTTAAACTTACCACCGTCCCATCGGGGGAATAACACCAGTGTAAATTACAAAATGTAAAAATGTTTTACATTATTATGCAATCAAGTCTTCGCATTTTTTAAATGATCAGCATGGTCAAAGTAAAAATAATTAGAATTAAAAGAAGGTTTTGAAATCTAAAAACAAAAAACACGTGAAGTCCTATTTAGTTGTTACGTGTGTTATTTTTCAAATAACAGTTTCGATTGCCAGTTACGTGTGTTATTTTTCAAATAACGGTTTCGATTGCCAGTTACGTGTGTTATTTTTCAAATAACGGTTTCGATTGCCAGTTACGTGTGTTATTTTTCAAATAACAATTTCGATTGTTATTTTTCAAATAACAGTTTCGATTGCTATTAAGCTACACAATATATTTTCCATGTTAATATTTGACTTTATGATTACAATAACGTCGAGCTGCCTTCCCCAAATGTTAACCGCCAATGTAAGTCCTTTCGAATAATTGCACCTTGTTAGAAAGAGGAAAATATTTTCTAAATCATGTTACTGTTAGAATTATTTATTTTTATAGTGATTTTAGTGACTTTTAGCAGATGTTTCATTCTCTGTTTATTTTCGTTTCGGAAAAAAAAATATTCGTAAAGGAAAATTCTTTCAGGAAATGATGAAGTAGAACTAAATGTAGAAAACAAAACTGCTTTGTTTTAACAATCAGCTGGCTTCAGAACGGGAAACTTTATTAATTGCCAAGAGAGAAAAAAAAAAGATTAAAGCTTTTCTGTTGGTCCCTAACTGTAGCTAGTTTTTTGTCGTTGTTTTTTTTTAATACGTAAAGGACGTCTATGAAATTCTTTATTTTTTCCGCAGGGAGTCGCGTGCAGTGTGCTGCACGAGCTGTAAACCAGGATGGTGATGTAGGGTTAGAGTTGGAAAGTGCACCAGTTGTTATTTCTATCTCTGGTGGATTATGTTCACCACGTATCGAAGGTTCTACTGGTGCTGAACCTTTTACTGCCAAGATGAGATATACAGGTGAGAGTAACTAGATGTTGTTGTTAGTTGTGGTACAGGTGAGAGTAACCAGATGTTGTTGTTAGTTGTGGAACAGGTGAGAGTAACTAGGTGTTGTTGTTAGTTGTGATACAGGTGAGAGTAACTAGGTGTTGTTGTTAGTTGTGGTACAGGTGAGAGTAACTAGATGTTGTTGTTAGTTGTGGTACAGGTGAGAGTAACCAGATGTTGTTGTTAGTTGTGGTACAGGTGAGAGTAACAAGGTGTTGTTGTTAGTTGTGATACAGGTGAGAGTAACCAGATGTTGTTGTTAGTTGTGGTACAGGTGAGAGTAACTAGATGTTGTTGTTAGTTGTGGTACAGGTGAGAGTAACTAGATGTTGTTAGTTGTGGTACAGGTGAGAGTAACTAGGTGTTGTTGTTAGTTGTGGTACAGGTGAGAGTAACTATGTGTTGTTGTTAGTTGTGGTACAGGTGAGAGTAACTAGATGTTGTTAGTTGTGGTACAGGTGAGAGTAACTAGATGTTGTTTTTAGTTGTGGTACAGGTGAGAGTAACTAGATGTTGTTGTTAGTTGTGGTACAGGTGAGAGTAACTAGATGTTGTTGTTAGTTGTGGTATAGGTGAGAGTAACTAGATGTTGTTGTTAGTTGTGGTATAGGTGAGAGTAACTAGATGTTGTTGTTAGTTGTGGTATAGGTGAGAGTAACTAGATGTTGTTGTTAGTTGTTGATGATTGCACGGTGTAGAGATTTATCCTCCAGTCAGAATTTGTGAAGTGTTTCCATTTATTTTAATTCACTAGAGACTACGAAAAGCGTCAATATTTGAATTCAAAAATATTATGTTTAGTTTTACGTTTGCATTTGATATTGACCCTCAGGTCCAAATGAACAAGATTATCCCAACTTGATAAAACTGACCGTTGTCATTCCTCACCGAGACGGAATGCTTCCCGTCATTTCTTCCCAACCTCTGTCCAATTTTGAGTTGACCTTGAGCCCAGACAACCTAAGGGTGGGCACTCATAAATGTTCGAACCTGCTGGACTACAACGAAGTACAAACCAAGAATGGATTCCTCACCAACGAAACAAAGAATGCCAACGTTGTTGGTGAAGTGGAACCCTATCAATTCAATTCAGAGTTAAGGACGGAACCCACGCTCAGGTTGGTTATCGAATCGTAAACGTTATTACTTGGGATAATATTTTATTAACGGATTGTTACTTAAAAATAACATAAATTATAGTTCAAGCTCAAACTTAATTTTTTGAAACTTAGACAACAAATCAAAATGATTGAAATATGTAACAAGAAAACCCTTGGGTATAAAAGGCTTAAAGAAATAAACCTTTCTCGAACCTTCTGCAGTTTGCATCCTGATTTCGAAACACTAATTATCGAACTTAGTAGACGACACGATTGAATGATACATTTAGCAAACTAAATACAGGTTACGATCCACAATTAAGAATAAACAGTGCTGAGAACCTTCTGGTTACCACCTGATATTAAACACGAAACAATACCCAAAACCTTCTGTTTATCATGTGGAATTAAACATGGAAAGATACCTGAAATTTTCTGGTTACCATCCGGGATTAAACCTGGAATGATAGCCGAAATCTTCTGGAATTAAACATAGAACGATACCTTCTGGTATCGTCATATTTGACCATGATGCATTATTCGGGGCATTATATAAAATAATTATTCTGTATTCAAATCTATAAGTAGTTCGTTCTCATCAACATAAGCCAATTTTGGGTGAAATGGTGCAAATTTTTGTGTTTGTTTTTTCGCAGATTCTATAGGAACTTATACCTGGAAGCTTGCATGTGGGAATTTACGACATATTACGATATGTCGGAACTGGTGGCAGACTGTGGTGGCACCATCAGCAGTGATGGTCAGGCAAGTTATCCACTTTATCATCGCACTGTTCTCAGTTGTTCTGATATTTATTTTTTTTCTACGTTCAAGTCATGCATAGGAAGTTCATATTTACTTACTCCTCCAACTTTGAGTGTGTTTGTGATGGATTTAAAGACAAAATAAGTTTATAAAACTTATATGTGTTTGTAATACGCATATGATGTTTCTAGACATTAAGATGACATGTCACAGACTGTTGTATATTACACTTACTTATATTTTCATTCTGAAGGTTTTGAATTCAGTTCAGTCTTTTGTGTCTGTACGGGTGCCATTGTACGTTTCATATATCTATCACTCGCCTGTTGCTACTGGAGGCTGGCAGCACAACGACCTGACGTCACACTTGAGATTGACGTTCGTCTACGACACTGCCATCTTGTGGAAGAATGGTATCAAAGCCCCCGAGGAGTCCCAACTTCAAGGTATATATACCGAGTAGTACTAAGATAAAAATATAGTATTTAACATATATTACTTGATTCGTATCTAAATTTTTCACTTTTAAAGAGATCAACTGATAAATGATTGTAAGTTGCCAATGGTAGGCAAGGAAAATTACAACATGAATTTGTAGCTTTAGAAAACACAAAACTAAAGTTTTCAATTCTTCTGTACCAAATGACAAAACTACAAAATTAAACCAGATTGATTCTTTTCCAGGAAATCTCTATCCTACTAGCATGAGAATACGAGACGATGGAAGATTAGTTGTGAATTTTAGGACAGAACCTCGGTTCAAAGGGCAGTTTATACTTAGTCACCCAGGTAAGTCTCCATGCTTATAATTATTGTTAATGCAAGACGCTACCTGATTTACAGAGAACTGAAACCAGATAATAAATATGTCCCGAATCTACTCTACATGCTTCAAACATAAGTTATTAGTGTCACCTTACAAAAATCAGTAGACACAAAGATCCCAAAACATTCTCGACACAGAAAGCGCAACACATGAGAACTCAACTCAGACATTACAGATAACATAAAGAAACGTAGAAAACTAAAAAACTACATGACACATGAGAACTCAGACATTACAGATAACGTAAAGAAATGTAGAAAACTAGAAAAACTACATGACACATGAGAACTCAGACATTACAGATAACGTAAAGAAATGTAGAAAACTAAAAAAACTACATGACACGAGAACTCAGACATTACAGGTAACATAAAGAAATGTAGAAAACTAAAAAACTACATGACACATGAGAACTCAGACATTACAGATAACGTAAAGAAATGTAGAAAACTAAAAAAGTACATGACACATGAGAACTCAACTCAGACATTACAGAACACGTAAAGAAACGTAAAAAACTAAAAAAAATACACGAATACAAAAAAAAAGCCAGAAATGCAAAAAAAACTTTGAGAAACAAAATGTGAGATTAAACAAGACGATTTATGTGAGACAAAACAGTTGGGGTGAATTTTGTTCGAAATTGGAATCATCCCCACCCTCATCACAAGATTTTTGGAAACACTTGAAATTATGTGAAAATAGCGGCCTTAACAACATAAACAACACTCATATACAACAACAAAAAATGTTACTCAAACAAATAAAAAAACAAGACATATCCAAATTCAGATCTCGTATCCACAATGTCTTCAAAACATCAAATGATAAGCATATGGACGCCTTCTTTTTCAACAGAGTAAATATGTTTTTTAAAAAATAATTTCACACTATTCACACACTGTTTTCCTATGAGTATTTTCAATAACACATCACTCTTCTAAAGAGCCAAATACTAAATACTCACACATTAAGAAAACGATTAAACACGTGAAAACATAACTCCTGGACGCAAAAAAATCTCATTAAAAAGGGAACCCGGCAATTATATGAACACCTAAGATCTCTTTCCATCTTATCCCTAAATTCTCGATGTATAACAAACTCCTGAAATCATACTAATGTTATCATGTTCCATAAAGAAAGAAAGCCAGAGATAAACAACAGTTACAGAACAGCTAATCTTACAAGTTGCTTAGCAAAAATTTTAGAAAATATTATTCCTAATAGGTTACTATTTTTTTTTTTAAATTGAGTAATAAATTATTCGAAACTCAAAACGGTTTTAGAAAATTTAGACAAATTAATGACCACCTAATTAGTGTCAATGAATCAATTATAGAAAGTTTCGGTAAAAAAAATCATTAAACACAAGCATTCTTTCTCGGAGTAGAAAAAGCTTTTGATATCATTGTTTTAAGTTTCAGTTGTCAAAAATGAAATTACTCTGGAGTTTGTCCCCTGGCTTTCCAACTTTCTGGATGATACAAAAATTAGAGTTAACACGGATTCACCAAAGTTCAATTGTTATTGGAGATAAAAAAAAAAGAATCAGTAACCATTAAACTGGTAGTAATGGTGACAAGCTTTCGGATTGTACTTGAAACCGTAATATCACCTTCTCGGTTTTTGTTTCTTACATTGTTAATGAAGAAGCTGGTAGTTTGGAATTTTGGGAACACTGCTATCCAGTGAGTTACATTGTTATTTAGCCTTACGTAACATGTGAACATCATAGAAAACTATGAGGTTTTTATTATTATCGTAAACCGGATATGACGTGTTAAATTTTATCTCCTTTCCGGAGTACTTTGTTTTGGGGCAAAATTCGTAACGTTTGTATATATTTAATCATCTTTCTACTAAATAACCGTTTTCTCTCGGGTTTTACTACGTATTCAGCTATAAATATTTCAACATAAATTAAAGGTATCGGTTTCGTGTTGTGATGAAATTTTGATTTTATTAATATGTCAAAATGGTAGTCATTTCAACAAACTCATCACTTATATCAGGTCTCTGTTAGCATAAATTGTTAATTAATAGTTCGAATTGTCCTCGCATGTAGTAAGATAAATAAATCAATCCCAGAATCCCAGCTGTTGAATTATTATATGTAATCAAAGTTAACTGAAGGATTTTCAGATTAGACTAACGTGCCTACAGTCTTGATTCTCAAACAAGATTATGTGATTATTTTAAATTGTTTTGGCTTGTGTTTTAATTATGTTTATGCTTGTGTTTTAATTCGAAAACAGAAACACAATTACTTTAGTAATAATTATAGAATGTAGGTTTTTGAGAATTCTCATTAGGAATAAAGGTCAAGGTCAGGTCATCAGTACAATGCAAAATGTTTGTGATCTAATGTTTCGAACTCAGAGTCAAGTGCGCGATTCTCAATCTTATTAAATTTATAGTTAAAAATTTTAAAAACATTATCTATAAAATTCAATATTTTAAAAAATACCAGCTATTCTAGCTCGGCAATACAGCATATCAGAGTATTGTTAACCTTTGTATTTCTTTGCATTGTAATGCTAACCTTTGTATTTCTTTGCATTGTATTGTTAACCTTTGTATTTATTTCCATTGTATTGTTAGCCTTTGTATTTCTTTGCATTGTATTGTTAGCCTTTGTATTTCTTTGCATTGTATTGTTAACCTTTGTATTTCTTTGCATTGTATTGCTAACCTTTGTATTTCTTTCCATTGTATTGCTAACCTTTGTATTTCTTTCCATTGTATTGTTAACCTCTGTATTTCTTTGCATGGTATTGTTAACCTTTGTATTTCTTTCCATTGTATTGTTAACCTCTGTATTTCTTTGCACTGGCAAAAACTAATTGCAACTATTCTTGAACAATAAAACAATCTGAACCTGTATAAATTACCAGTAGTAATAACATTTGTTTCTAAACTGATGTTGAAATGATATTATAAAATTTCCCTCTCTCAGTACCCAAGAAAAAAATATTTATACAAATTACTGTAATTTATCTCAATTTTGGGCAGTAATTGGTATCTTGTAAATTAATACTTTATAGGAAGTGGGCTAACATCAATGGCGACGTCACAGGATTACCCGGAACTGACTTGTACTTTAGAGCTGATCCGCAGTGAACCGACCTACGCTCAACCTGAACAACAGTGGGAATTTGTGTCAGATCTAGCAGTAAGCTTTTTCTTAATCATTTTTTTACTCCTATCTTTGGAAGTCAAGAACGTATTCTCAGTTCAATTTCGTTATTTTTGTAGTTATTAAGCACAAAGTTGTTACATATATTCAGTGCCCACCACAGGGATTGCCATTACTTACAAAACACGTGCTCCTGGTGGGTTAGCGGTAGTTTGTTGACTTACAGTGCCATAATTTAGGGTTCAGTTCCTTGCGGTGGACAGAGTGCAGATACTCAACTATGTAGTTTTGCACAAAAAAACACACACAACTTACTAATACTCCAAACCTAAGACCCACAGAGCTTACTAATACACCAAACCTAAGACCCACAGAGCTTACTAATACACCAAACCTAAGACCCACAGAGCTTACTAATACACCAAACCTAAGACCCACAGAACTTTCTAATACACCAAACCTAAGACACACACAGCTTATTAATATACGAAACCTAAGACGCACACAGATTATCAATACACGAAACCTAAGACCCATACTGCTTATTGATATACGAAACCTAAGATCCACACAACTTACTAATACAACAAAGATGTTTGTTTTGAATTTTGCGCAAAGCTACACGAAGTTCATCTGCGTTAGCCATCCCTACAACAAAAAAATCGAATATTAATAATGGCTGGAGACGGCTTGAATGGGTAATGAAGAAAAACTTTAATATAACATTCAACATTAACAGCAAATATACAACGCTCATGACACCACACAAAAAATCAATACACTTAAAAACCTCATAAACACAGCCACAAGACTCTGTTCAACGGACTGCATAA